GAGTTGAGATAGAGTGTAAAAAAAATGCAGAAGAAAATTAACTGCAATCAAGTAAAACGTCATTCAACTGGGGACTTCGGCACGATATGCAAAAGTGAGACGTGGACAAAGACCTGGACCAGAACTGCAAAATGGCATTTGAATAGGGGCAGGAGGACAGGAGAGTAGTGGGCTGGGCAGAGGCCGAGGGGCTTATAAATTTCCATTATGCGACTCGACAAGGTCTGCCGCAATGCTGTAAACTTGCTAAATTGCCAACATTTCAACGCATTTTTCTCTATTCGCCGCAGGCAAAAAGAAGCGCAACCAATCGACTGCCCTCCCATCCCTCGTCCTCCGCCAGCAGCTTTTGATGGACCTTTTGAAGAGTTTTAATTAAGCTAATAAAGTTGTCTCTCTTGCATTGTCCGTGGGGACGTTAACGCTCTGCGCTGCGCTGCAAAAATGTTGCATGTCCATTAATTGCTTTGTTAGACACAAACAATAAACAGAAACGAGGTCATAAATGGGTTACATTTTTTACTTCATCATGTTACATGAGATCTCCGGATGACGAGATAGAGGAAATTCGGGACAGAGTGTTTATCTAAGATTAAAGTTGAATGCGGGATGCTCATAGGGAATAGTCTGAAATTCATGTAATTTATAAGTATACGTGTAAAGGAAACCAAATTTGTATTAAGGCTTAAGCCAGATCTGTAAAGGAGCTTATATTACTTATCGAATTGTGTAAGATCGAACTGTAAAGTAGAAGTAGAAATGTTCTCTTACGATTGGTTACGCTCTACGTTAGTATTTATATTTATATAATACTTATATATCTTTAAATATATAAAGTTACATTAATAGTAGATTTGATATATGTATATCATCTTATCACATAATGTATATATATTTATATATATATGTCTATATATATATTTATTTAGTTTCTTTTCTTTTTATGTGATAAAATTATATATTAAAAACATTTTGTCAAACAACATAAATCAAATCTACTTTTAGCTTAACTTTTGGCTCGAGCTTTAACAGAGTAAAATAGATTTAGCCTTTAAAAATATGTAATTAGAGATCTTTACCTGGGTACTTTCTCCCTCTCTCTCTATCTCTATATCTCTTTTAATTTTGAATTAAGGAATTCAATACTAAGATTATATTTAGAATCAGGTACTATGTGTTTCTAGCTCTGTATTTCTCATGATATATTATTATATATATATATATTTCCACTCTCTTTAATTACCTCTCTAACCTCAATCCGTGTCTCACTAAACAGCCATACTAAAACGTTTTATATCCTAGCCAAGTGCACTAAAAAATGCCGTTGAGTCACAGTCTGAGGTCTGCAGGCGCATAGTTTTGGCATTTTCAAGTTTTGCATACAGCTCACGTTTGCCCACAAAATATTGCACCTCAAGCGGAGGCGCCATTAATGCGTTAAAAGCGCAATTACAAAATCGTAAAATACATAGATACATATATATATATTATATATACAAACTTCAGGGGACAGAGCTGAGGCCTGAGTGTCTGAGCAGTGTATGAGATTTACGAGTCGCGTGGGCAGCTCCAACTGCGAAAAACAAACTGTAAATGAACGCAAGACGGTAGCTGGCAAACGAAAAAAAAAAACACTATACGGAAACATATTAGCGCCTATTAGCCGGACAATTTGCATATATTTATAAAGAGAGTTGGAGTGAGAGCGAGAGTGAGAGAGGGAAAACGGTTTAGCCAGCAGATGGAATGAACAGAAGTTCAAGGTAAGCTGAGACAGATCCTGATCTAGCTGGCTAGCCTGGCAGCTCATGTGGCGTGTAATTGCTTTTCCCAGTGGCTTCAGTGGCTTCAGTGGTTGCAGTGTCTGCAGTGGGGCAACGTTTGCCTGTGTGGCGCATGCGCCGATTGTTGGCCAACGATAAAATTCCAGTCAGCTGGCTACCCGGCACTTTATTTCTCTTTGCTTTGGCTGATTAAACGGCTGATGGTATCTGGTATCTTGGCAATATTCGGGGCGTAATTAAAGGTATTAAGTGTGGCAAAAGGAGAGCTTGAGCCAGGTGAAAATATATAGATATACGTATATATAGATGGGCGGTGTGTGAATGGTGTGAACGTGTATGCATTGCCATTTAGAAGCTGGTGAAATTGTAGCTTTTTAATAAAAATGTGAGTGCTGTGGGCAGCTAAGAAAAGTTTTTTTTTTTTATATAAGCTGTGATTGGTTTGTGGTAGCTAGAGAAAAGTTTGAATGAAGTATAATTTCTAAATATGGTAAATAAAAAACAATTTCAATTAATTATTTTTTATTTTTTATTTTTTTTTTTTTTTTTTTTAATTTTTTTTTTTTTTTTTTTTTTTGTATTATTGTATATATATTTTCTAAGTTATCGATATGTATATATATTTTATTGTTTTAAATACTAGAAATAATAATATTAAAAAAAATATATATATATATAAATATATATATATATTTTTTTAATATTAATATTATTAATATATATAAATATATATATATATATATATATATATACATATATGTATATAAACATATTAACATTTAAATTCTTACATATTGTATTTAGATAAATAAACAAAAAATTGATATAAATAAACTTTTCAAAAAAATATTTATTAATCTATATAATTTATTAATCTATGTTGTATATTATATATTATATCTGTATATGCATATATACTTTATGCTTAACGGAGTTATTTTCTTTCATGCTTTCTCCTGATTTATTTTCCTTTTGCCACCCACTCTCACACACTTTGCATGCTCAGCCAACCAATCGATCATGCCACAAAGAAAAAAAAGCTGACACCTCTGCCTGAGCAAGCAAAACAATAACAAGTTCAGTAAAGTTAGCTTCCGCATAACTGAGAAACGAGATCGACAAACCCTCGGTTCATCAAGCTCATCCTTTGGCTGGCTGTTTGCCCAGAAGCGTGTTAAACATGTCAAACAGTTGCCAACTGGGCCAATGGGCTTGCAGTTTGCATTGTTGTTGTTTGTTTGTTGTGCTGCTGCCCAAAAGAAGACATGATCGAACAGCAACAACAACACAGCGTGAACTTGATATTATGCTAAAAAGGCAGCCCAATATGCAAAGTGGCAACAGACGAGTTGCCTTTCGATCTGTTGTTGACTCTCGGTTCGAGCCAATTTGGTGCAGTAGGTACACACTCGCTTAGCTTGTAAAAGGAGCATATTGGTTTTTGCAAGAAGTGAATACTTGACTGTATTGAAAGCATTGCAAGTCAACAGATTGTATAGGAATGATATCAATATATATGTATATACGCCTCTTGAGGGATATATCTTGCTCAGCCACAGTCTTAAAGCTCTGCTGGTGGTTTACTACTAAACTCTTTTCCTTCTAATTTACGTCTCATATATTGCGACTTCTACTGAGCGAGTATTATGCACTTAGTTAAGTTCCAGCTCGAGCTCGTTCTTACTGGTTACTGCTGAGGTTGTTACTGTTGTTGTCGTTGTCACCTCGATAAGCATCAGTGCAGCTCACAAATACAAAAATATTAAGTGTGCTTCTCTTTTGGCTCGTCTGTAAATGGAACTGAGTTTTTTTTTGGTTCTTGTGGTGCCGACACAACAAATTACATGCAAATTAGATGAACTTGGTGTGCTAGTGAGAAGCAACTGTAATGCAAGAAACGAAGCTGCAAAAAAGAATCTGCAGAAGAAATTTAACAAGGCTTATATAAGCAGTGCTGCAAAGCGACAGAGAGCAAAAGTGTTGGGCAACCCAAACGTATGAGAGTAGACTGTAAGGAGTGTACTTAATGCATGAACATATTTACTTTAATCATATAATTTACATTCTCTTGATTATGTACAAATGGAACCCATTTAAAAATTTTGTGGGCTCCTTATCTGATAATAAGGAAAGAAGCTAGAATATTTAGAGCACAAGAATTTAAGGTACTTCCCAGTTGGGCAGTCCTGAATATTAAATATATACATATACATATATATATAGATAGATCATTAAATTCCTTTTTTCAGGCCGGTTAATGTTTTTTCAATACAAAGCTCTTACGTAAAATATATATATAAAAATTTATCCAAAAAAAAAAAATATATATATATATATATTCATATATTTTAAATTTGCATTTTGACTAAAATGTTGCATGCCGCAATAATTTTAATATTCGAGCATATAAAGTGTTCAATACAGTTTAGCAGCCACTGAAGAACGCTTTAATCGACACAGCCAACAAGTATGCAACACTTACTCTTTTAATAAGATTCATTGAAAACACAAACATGCATAATTACATACATACTAAACGAATGAGATAATAAAATATTAAATAAATTAAAAACGACAGTTATATAAAGATTTAAAGAATATTTATACATGCAATCGTCGGATCTGTTTCATTTTCAAATCAGTCCACTTAGTGCCTCTGCGGCAATTGATGTCAATGTTCATGTTTATAAAATATTTGAATTACATAAGCTTTGCATGTTTCGTGTTTCATCAAATTAATAATAAAGCAAGTTTTTGCCACGTTTGTCGTCAGCATAATGTTGCTTAACGCAAAATAAATCAAATTAAATTTCGTAACGCACTCGTAAGCAAATTTTCGTTGGTTGTTTTGGAACGCAACCTAAAAGTATGCAGCACGCAAGTGAAGCTTATAGTAGAGGCAGGAGGCAACACTGTGCTACAATAAATTGGGGCTTATAGTGAGTTGTTGGTGAAACTGTTAAGGCATCATTTATATATAAGAATGGATTTTCTAGGCATAGAAGACGACAAGACAGAGATAGTAAACAAAAAAACAAATGGAACAACTATATTTATAAATTTTAAAATCAAAAAATAATTTAGATATATTTTGCTTATATGAATGTAAAGCATTTAATACATATATTTTTATATATTATTTAAAAATATTAAATATTTTATTTAATAACAATTGAATACATATATAACGAAAACTATTTTGATTGTATTCCGCTGGCCTTTTGCTTAAATTATATTTTAATTGTATTTTTATATTAAATTGAATATATTTTATTTTATTTTACACATGCATCTTTAAGCTCTGTTGTATAGTGTAGGGATTTACTTGTCTTCTTCGGTCCTTCCGTAATATTTCGTCATGTCCATATGTGAGCTGGATAATATACACACGTTCCGGGTGGATACTAGCACCACTTCACTTCAGATATATGCGACACGTGGCAAAAGTTTAGCTTGGCCAAAACTTTGTCTGTATCAAATAGAACTATAAGAAATAAAATACAGGCAGTTCATTATAATGAAGTAGTGAAATGAGGGAGTCACACATAAGACATACTAAGTCGATATATTGAAATGAGCAACTAAATAGGATTGAAATAGTCAAAGCTGCAGAAGTTCAGGTGCCCTTCGACTATGGTAATTGATATCGACTGCATAATTTAGTATTCACAATTTTATATCAGAGGCAGTTGACCTCCGGCTCGACTGGGTATGTGTCAAGAATTTGACATGAGACTCGTGCGATTACAGACAAATGTTGCATATGATTCCAACTACATCATTTATATGTATATGCATGTATTTGTCTATGATGTTGTCTTTATCTTTTGTAGTGCAGTTGACACTCTCACAAATTAATAACAATTGACGCAATGCATTAAGCATGCGAGTAAATTGTTGCAGTCGAGGCGCGTCTTTTAGTTCTTGCGTGGGCATTTACACAAATAGAGAAGATGCAGCAGCTATGTCTAGAATACAAAAGAAAGTCGAGTAGAAATTAGTTGAACAATAAACGTTGTGTGCTTGAGTGTGAGTGCGTGTGTGTGTATATGTGTGTATATGTGTGTCTGTAAGTGTGACCAGGAAGAAATGTGAAAAGTCTGTCGCATCACACTTGACTATGTTTTTAAACAGGAGCGGAATAATCAGAGGGTGGGCCCAAACTTATAATAGAATGTAGTTGATAATTACTGTTTGATCAAATAAATAAAAACTGTATTTATTTAAAGAGGATTTTGCCACAAACTAATAATGATAATAATAAAACAAAAATATTTACATCAAAAATTAAAAGTTTGTAAAATAATAGTCCTTGTTAGCCTGAAACACTGAGTTATTCCTGTTATTTCAGAGTTTTGGCTTCACATTCCACTTCTACAGCATTTACCTTATTATTAAGCAACTTCAACTTCATAATTCTAGATGTTATTATTAAGCAAATTATTCTTCTATTCAATATTCGCCATGTAGATTTATTCTTTAATAGACTAAACACTATTCCACTCTCAGCTTACTGCCCATACCACAGCTTGACATGCATTTTAACTGTTGAAAATTAATTTGCAACGCATTTTAATCAAGTTTCATAGTACTTTTAAACACAATTCCATATTAATTGCATTGCAACATTTAAACATGAGTTAACAATTTTCCTGAATTTTCTTAAATTTTGCACTGCTCTCGCCGCTCGACGTGCACTTGACTGGCGATACAATGCATTTGCATTGGCATCTGACACCGCTGACCTCTCGCGGCGTCTATTGTTGCGATCAATGCGATTGTCTGTCCGTTAATTGCATTTGCTGCATTAGCGACACAACTGAAACATAAATAATTGTAAATTATTATTCAATTCACATTTCTGTCGTCAAATTGTGCTTTATTGAGATGTTGTTGTGGGCTATTGTTGTTGTTACTTGTTGTTGTTGGTTGTGGGTTGTTGTTTGTTTTGTTTGTTGGCCTCTGCAGTTGCAAGCTGTGGACACTGGTGGGGCGCAAGATTTCAAACGTTAAATTGCATTTATACCCATTAAATATGTTTAATCGGGGTATATTGTAATTGGTCAAATTTAAAATCAGTAAATTCTAGTATTTAAAAAATTTATATTTTCAAAATAATTAATATTTTAGAAATATGTTTTCAGAATTTTAAGTTTATATTTTATTGAATTGAACCTTAATCTATTAAACTTAATGCTATTAAAAATATATTAAACAAATTTTATTTTAAAAAATTGACATATTTTATTTAATTTCTTTGAATTTTAAATTTGGAAAATATAGATTATTAGCCAGTTTTTAAATATATTTCTTGATCATCCATAGACGATTTATATCCAGACTTATTATTTTGAAATCTTGGAGAGACAATAAATAGATACATTAAATTTGACAGCTCTTATTAAAATAATCTCTATTAATTACAGCTATTAACTATCCTAGTAATTTGGCATCGACCAATTTGAGGTTTCATTTATTTACTTTGATATTTTAGTTATTTATTTAAAATATATTTATAGCTCAGTTTTTTGCTAACTTTTATTTTATTAAACTGAGGGAATAGTCTCAATGCATATTATTGCTTAAAGCTTGATCAATATTATAGTAAAACGACTTTCTGTTCATAGGGATATTCAGTTAGTAGCAGGGTATCTCCGCGTCTTGCTCTCACTTGTTGTTTTTGGCCCGTATCAGTTTGTTTGTTGTCTCCACACAGTCACCCATATGTCGTCGCTTGTTGTCTCTCGTGCGTGTCTCATTTCGCGTTGCACATTTCCTGATTTTTGTTTTATTTAAAAAAAAAAAAAAAAAAAAAAAAAAGACTTTTGCTTGTGTGTTTTGCTTGACATTTTCTCGAGTCTTGTCTTCTGTCTTCGTTGGCTGTTGCTTTTCCGCAGTGACGCATCTACAGCTTTGGCTTTGGGCCGCATGTCAAGTGACGTTTCGCACGTTTCACATTTTGTTTGTGTTTCATATACATATATTATTTTTGTATTTTTTTGTCGATTTCCCGTCGCTTTGCACGTTTCCCAGTCGAATGTCACGAGCGCGCATGTTCAAGTGGGTCGCTGGGGCTCTTGGATGGCTTTTGTCTGTGGCCAATGGCTTTTTGATTAGCCCGGCCAGCTTGAGCGACTTATCCACTCAGCTGGGCCAGCAGCTGCATTGTTGATTGTTTAAAAATAGCTAACCCAAGCCTGTCTGGCACCTGCGGCCTGCACCTTGTCACGTGTCTCGATTGCTCACCTGCCTTGGCGGCTCAACTGGGCATTTGCATTTGAAAATCAATATGGGCCAACAGCTTAGTGCGCTTCAATTGCATTTGGAGGCGAGGAGGCGCCATAGGGCGGTCCAGCGGCTCGGGTGTTGTCATTGTCTGGCCGTAAATCGAGGCTCTTAAGCGGATTAGTTTGATTTGCAATCCAAGTCTACCGCTCTCACCCGCTCACTCTCTGTTTCTCTTTCTCATTCTCCCTGTCTTTGTCTAAAAATCAATAGGCTAATGCACTTGAGCAGTTCTTATGTTGAAGTCTAACTGGCTAATTCGCTAGAAAGGTGACAAATACATTGTAGTTTCTTCAGTTTGTGTTTTTTTCTGTTGAGCTATTGCCTTCACTGTCTCACAGAAACCTATCAAATTCAATAAACTAACGCAGCAATATGCTAAGAATCACATACTACGACTTGTACAATCATATGTTAAATAAAAAATGTCTGAAAATGATATATGTAAATGTAAAATTTTTAAATATGAAAAAAACCGTGACAATATTGTATTGAATATAGTATTATAGTATTACATTATACAGGCTCGTATGTATATAGTTTGTAGCTAAAATACGTTCTTCATAAAGTAAAATGAGTATATTTGTAATTATTTATTATATAAAAAAAAGTAAATAAATGCTATAAATTTTAAGCACTGCATAAATAAATTCCACAAATGGAATATTCTTCAAATTTATGAGATCTACAGATAAAAAATATACAAGAATTTTACTTGTTTTCATATAAAACTTTATTATACTATTTTTTTATTATTATTTATTATACTATTTTGATTATTTGTATGATTTTTACATTTTTTTGGTGTCTGTAGAAATATTAATCTAATTTACTTTATCAGTCACGCTGGATTCCATAAAAAGCGCTAAATTATAAATTAGTTCTAGATCTATACAATTTTACTTTCACTTGACTGTTTTATAAATCATTTAACGCTATGAAGCTCTTGCTGTTGGGTGAGATTTAGGTGTATTTCAATAACATTCCGATATGTATATATTGATTCGTCTCTGCAGTTGTTGTGATCTCTTCCTTTGGAAATGCAAGGTCGAATTGCCCTGTGGTCGAGGCTCACTGTCCAAACGTGTACGTGCAATTCTGGCTGTACTCTAAGTAAGTTATAATTGCGTATTAGGGTATTAATAATTCAGTGAACTATTCCATATGCAGAAATAAAATACCCAAATTAATCGATCCGGCTAAATTAAACCGCAACATCTTTCAACACAGTGGGAAGATTGTTATACTAATCCATGGCTATACGGGCAATCGTAACTCGCCCCCAAATAACTCGATTCGGCCCGCCTTCCTAAATCACACGAATGTCGATGTCATATCTGTAGACTATGCTCCACTAGTGAAGTCTCCATGTTTTGCCCAGGCTGTACAAAATGTACCCCTAGTTAGCAAGTGTCTAGCACAACTGATCAATGTTCTGGTCAGGAGGGATATCGTACATAATAGCGACTTGCATCTAATTGGCTTTAGTCTGGGCGCTCAAGTAGCTGCACAGACTTCCAACTATGTGTTTAAAAAGCTGAAGCACATAACGGCTTTGGATCCTGCCAAGCCTCTGTTCATAAGTGCTGATAAAATGATGCGTTTAGATAAAGCAGATGCTGAGTATGTCGATGTCATACATACGGATACCCTGCAATATGGCTTGCTAAAGAGAGTGGGGCATGCTGATTTCTATCCCAACTTTGGCCAGCTCCAACAGCCCGGCTGTGTGGATGCAGAAGATAAAACGAGCTGTAATCATAATCGTGCACCACTTTTTTATGCTGAGTCCATAATACCCAATCACAATTTCTGGGGTCGTAGCAGCAAAGATCCCAGCCAAATTGTTTTAATGGGCTATGGAGCTCCACTAGTCAATGGAACATTTTTCTTGAAAACGGGCAGCGAATTTCCATTTGCTTTGAAGCAAGAAGATTCCATTGCTAATGCCGAATTTGGATTCAATCAAATGAAAAGGTCATTCATTACCTACATCGAAAAGGCCCTGGAGACCTACTTGATTTCGCAAATATCGAATGGCAACCCAGTTAAGGCAAGAACTACAAATGATAATAATAATAAAGACAGAGAAGAAAATACTACACCACTGGTACAACCAATAGAACAAAAAATTGATAATGGAATGGTATAAAAAGAAGATCCATCAGATGAGGTCAAGTCCTAGATTACAATTTCTTAAAATTGTTTCCGTTTCATTAATGGGAAAATAAAGCAAGCTAAATGTATTATTATTTGCAACTGATTGATGAGATTCTATATATTGATTAAGTTTAGGGCTCATAGATATTTATAGAGATGGCATAAGAGTTGTAATCTTAGAATGAAATCTTCTTTGAGTTTCTCTCCAACAGATTCCCAGTTATTGAAGATCTTTTCGATGTGATGTTATTGTTCAATAATGTTCCAAAACTAGATTTGTCTCCCTCTCTTTCTCTCTCTCTTTTTCTCTCTCTCTCTCTTTTTCTCTCTCTCTCTCTCGCTTTCTCTCTCTCTTTGCGTGTTTGTTTTTGTCCGTTTCTGTCTCTGTATGTCTTCCTCTCGCTTTCTCTCTCTCTCTCTCTTTCTCTCTCTATATATTTTTCAACCTATCTCTCCATCTCTTTCTGTCGCTCACCTATTTTACTATGAGCTTTTATCTCTTCTTCAGTCTTCATAGATCTCCACACTTTTCTACTCTTTTCTTCCTAAAAAGGGATAACAAAATCTCTCTCTATTTTTACCTCAACCTTTTCTCTGCCTCACTTCACTTAACAATACCTTAATTTATCATATTGCGACTTTCTTTGGCAATCAAATATGAACGTCAGCAAATTCCGTTCGTGTGGGCGGATCTAAAAACGGTGAAAGCAGGAAATACAAGGTCTGCCCTGAAATGAATTTTACGTCCTTGCTCCACAAAGCAACCGACTTGCGAATCGTTGTACACCAAACAAAAGAGCTGTCAAAATTGACAGACGGAGACAACCTCGTGCCGTGAATCACATTTCCATTACTCATTGCAAATGTGAGGCGTGAACTGCTTTACGCAAAGATAAAAAATCTCGTTTGTTTATTGTTTATTTTTCAATTTAGCAATTGAAATATCGAACGGTAAAAAAAACCGGCCTCCCGCTAAAAAAAAAAAAAAGAAATGAAAGAAAAGCAAAAGCAAAAGCTTGACGCATGCGCAAAATTACAAAAC